GGTGTGAAATATCTGTTTCCACAAAGTGCATTTGTTATTCCTTTATATTCATATGAAGATTGTTTACAAAATGAATATCGTTTATTATTTTCTTTATAAACATTAATATCACCAAATCCAAATCCAAACAAACAGCCATCATCTGATTGATCACCTAAAGCAAATGCATATTCTGTATATTTAATATCAAATTTCATCATTCCTTGTATTCTTCCTTTTGATTTTAATGAAAATAAAAATGATTTTGGATCATTTATCCAGTTCCAACTACCAACTTTATCAATTTTCACATTAATATATCCTCCAAATTTATTTCCTTTTGTATCTTCAATAATAATTATTATATGTTCTTTATTTATTATTCTTTGATTAAATACTGATATATCTTCATTCCAATCATCAATATCTGAATCAAATAGTATATTGGATACTTTTCTATTTGTCCATTCTTCTAGTTGTTTCATTTCTTCAATTGTATTCATTCCTTTCATTATTTCTAATCTTTCTCCTTCTTCTTCTTTTCTCTTTTTCCTCTCAAAATAATCACTGTAATATGTGTTCCATTCTTTTTTCTTTTTGTTAAATGATTGTGTGGTTTTATCTTTTTCTTTTGGTTTTCTGAATATTTTATCTTTCATGACCATTTCTTCAATTGAAATGATTTTATTGATTATTTCATTCCGTGTTTTACTTAGTATTTCTTCATCTTTATTACATTCTTCTATTATTTTATTCATTTTATTCTTTATTATTTCTATTGTTTTAATTGTTTCTTGACTTTTTTCTATTATTAGTTTTCTTCTTCTTTCTGTTTCATCCATTCTATCAAATATTCCTTCTCCTCTTTTAACAGCTTCTAAATATGTTTCATTATCTTGTATTTCAAATATTTCATTTTTAATACTTCCTAAATAATAATGATATTGTTTATTAATATCATCAATTGATTGTTGAACATTTGGAATTGTTTCTATTTCTTCTTTAAAGAAATGAGTGTTCTTGTTTATTAACTCTTCCATTTTAATTTAATGAATATCAGATCAAAATCAGATGATTAAATAATTAAATACACGTTTATAACAAATCATTTTATTTATTATTATAGTAAACATCATTTCATTTTTATTGTTTTAAATAACAATATTAGTAACAAGTTAGTAATGATTACTTAACCTTTTATATTGATAGACAATGAAAGCCCCAAAAATTAAAGAAATAATTTAATTAGATAAACACTTATTATACCCTTTTTTTAAGGAAAGAAAAGAATAAACTAATGCCTTGTAAATGAATTCATTTATTCATTAAGCCACATAACCATATAAATTAGCAGTTGTAACTAATGGAACTATTGCCCATCTTGATACACAATAGATTAAAGTACCAAAGAAAATAGAAATTGGTAAAGCAGGAAGAGCTTTATTAAAAACAACCAATAAAATGAGAGTACCAAATAATCCCTAGACATGAATTTTATTTATTTTTCTTTACAAAAATGACAGATAATAACAAACAGATAATACTGCAACTGATCCACTAAATACAATTGTCAAGTCGTACATTGCACACCTTCCAACTAACACACTATAGAACACAAAATCACCTAAGCCTAACTTTACTCCTTTTCCATGTGTAGATGATAGAGTGAATGGGTTTGAATCAACATTTATAATTTCATTCTTAGAATCATCTGGAGACGCCAACCCCATCCATACTGCTGTAGAATAAACAAGTGCTGGAATTGGTTCATTTCGTTCTTGAGCTAAATTAACAAGAATTCTTAATGGTCCTTTAGGACATAATACAGCAACTAAATCATAACATGCCATTCCAATAAGTAAAGTCCATGTAGTCCATTCAGGGAGATTTGTAAAGAAAGAAGCCATGAAAACGCTGATAATAATCATATAAAACTGGTTCAATTTCATTGGAGAAATATAAAAAATTGAGACAACTCCAAGAATACCAAAATTAAAAAGAAGAAAAGCAAATGAAATCCAATCAATAGGCCAATTAAATACTGATAATAAACTTTTCATAATTGACCCCCCAAATAACATTAATAATAAAATTACACTAAATAATAACCATCCTACTATTAATTTCATACATTTATAATAAAAAAGAAGAACAAATACAAAAGTTACTATTACAATCATAGTAATGAATACAACTGATACAATAATAGCAATAAGCCATATAGGGATAGTTGTCGATGATTCAAGGCCTTCAGAAAATATATATGAAGTTGCTTGTGAATAAATATCATTACTTCTTTCTAATAATTTAACAATAATTACAGTTAATAATAAAGTGATAGCAACTGGAGTAATGACAGCGTTAACACTTTCACTGTATTCAGCAAAAGTAATCACCTCAACTTCTTCATCACTTTTATTTTCTTTTTTTTCTATTTTATTTTTTGAAGGTTGTTGTTCATCAGAAATGTCATGAAGTTCATTTT